TCCACTGCTTATTATATCAAAACAAAATAAAAAATATAGAAATAAAAATAAAATTAAAATAAGAAATACAATAATAAAATAAAATCAGAAACCTATGATTTCAATCCAGTTCCTTCTTGTCTTCACCCCTTGTCTCCCTCCCCCTTCCTCCAGGTGGACGGCACCTTCGTGTCCCTACCCTTCACCCACTCCCACTTTTCTGTGTTTCACCGCGGTGTCCATGGCTTTGTCATCACCGACTTTGGCCTCACCGTCACATTTGACTGGTACAGCTATGCTCGTGCCATCCTCCCCAGCGCCTACTCTGGTGCCGTCTGTGGCCTCTGTGGCAATGCCAACGGTGACCCCGAGGATGACTTTGTCACCCCAGGTGGCCACCACGCCCTCAACGAGACCCAGCTGGGTGAGAGCTGGAAGGTGGGGGATGTCCCTGGGTGCTCAGCTGGTTGTGGTGACCAGTGCCCAGTGTGTGATGCATCACGGGTGCAGCCATACCGTGGGGACAGGTACTGTGGGGTGATTGCCCAAGCAGGGGGACCCTTCCGGAAGTGTCATGGTGTCATTGACCCGAAGCCATTCCTGCAAGACTGTGCCTTCGACGCCTGTCACTACAGGGGACACCGCGACACTGTGTGTCAAGGTGTTGCTGCCTATGTCACCGCGTGCCAGAGTCACGGGGTAGATGTGGAGACATGGAGGACAGCAGAGTTCTGTGGTGAGTGTGGGTGGGGTGGGGGTGAACAGGATCCTTCCTTCCTTCTTTCCTTCCTTCCTTCTTTCCTTCCTTCCTTCCTTCCTTCCTTCCTTCCTTCCCTCCTTCCTTCCTTCCTTCCTCCCTACTTTCCTCCCTTTCTCCTTCCTCCCTTCTTTCCTTTCTTCTTGGAGGGACTCCTCTTCCCTCTTGATATTCTCCTCACTGCTTCTTTTTATCCCCAGATCTTTCCTGCCCTCCCCACTCTCACTATGAGCTTTGTGGGAGCCCCTGCCAGCCCACCTGCCTCACCCCCTCCATCCCTGCTGCCTGTCCCGACTCATCTTGCTCTGAAGGCTGTTTCTGTGACCATGGTTACGTCCTCAGTGGCTCTGACTGTGTTCCCCGCTCTGAGTGTGGCTGTGAGTACCATGGTCGCTACTACCAGAAGGACATAGAGTTTTACCCCTCATGCCGGGAACGCTGCCGCTGTGGAGCTGATGGTGCGGTGACATGCCAGGAAGCATACTGTGGTGCTCATGAAGAATGTCGGGTGGAAGATGGGGTGTTGGGGTGCCACCCCACTGGTTACGGACGGTTGGTTGTATCAGGGGACCCCCACTATGTCACCTTCGATGGACGAACCTTCAATATCCCAGGATCCTGCACCTACATCCTGGCACGGTTGTGCGAGCCGGCACCACGGTTGGTCAACTTCACAGTGTTGGTGGAGCATGAGGCGGGCAGTCATGGTGACCCAGTGACGATGAAGAGGGTGGTGGTGTCCATCCATGGGTACATCATCACCATGGAGCGGGGACGGAGGTGGGAGGTGCAGGTAAGTCTGTAGACCCCCATGGTGACACAGTGACAATGAAGAGGATGATAGTGCCCACATTGTCCCTGTGGAGGGGGATCCAGTGACACCCATGGTGATGCAGTGGTGATAAGGAGGGTGGAGATGTTCATCCTTGGGTATGCCATCACTGTGGAGCAGGGTCTGAAGACCCTCACAGAGACACATTTATGAAGAGGGTGGTGGTGTCCACCCATAGGTACATCAATATTGTGGAGCGGGATCTGGAGACCTCCACAATAACTTGGTGGTAATAAAGATGGTGGCAATAAAGAGCAGTTGTCTGTGTGGACAAACCACTGTCACTGTGGAGCAGGATCTGGAGACCCCCACATGGTGACAATGTGGTGATGGTGTCCATCTGTGGATACACCGTCACTGTGGAGGGGGAACCAGTAACTCCCATGGTGACATAGGAATGGTAAGGAGCGTGGGGGTCTCCCTCCATGGCTACAGCATCACCAAGGAGTGGGGTATGGCGACCTTATACCGCGTTTCACAAACGTGTCACCCTGTCCCCAACCCAGGTGGACTCAGAGCGCTACACCCTCCCACTGGTGCTGGAGGACAACAAACTCCGCGTTGGCCAAGAAGGGAATAACATTGTCCTCCACACCGCTGCGGGAGTTCGTGTCCTCTACAACGTTGCTACCTTCCTGCTCATTACTGTTCCCGACGTCTATCGTGGCCGGCTCTGCGGGTTGGGCGGTGACTATGACGGGGACCCCAGTGATGACTTCCGGCTGCCCACAGGGGCACTCGCGAGAAACACCCAGGAATTCATCACCTCCTGGAAGATTCCAGAGAAGGATGGAGCGTGCAGTGATGGCTGTGAGGACGGCACGTGTGGCGAGTGTGATGTCACCAATACAGCGTCCTACAACAGGAATGGATCCTGTGGGATCATCCGCGATGCAGAGGGACCATTCCGGGGGTGTCACCCACACGTCAGCCCCATGGAGTATTTCACTCACTGTGTCCACGATCTCTGTGCTGCCAGAGGGGACCGTGGTGCCTTGTGTCATGCACTGCAGGCATATGTTGCTGCCTGTCAGGCTGCCGGCGCCGTGGTTGAACCATGGAGGACAAAGGAGTTCTGCCGTAAGTCAGACAGGATTTCGCCCGTTCAAGTCCTATTTTCCTCAAAAGCTACATTTTCTCCTGCAAAAAAATCCTGAAATTTTGGAAAAAACCTCCTCAAATTCTGGAAAAATTCCCTACAATTTAAAAAAAAACCCACCCAAACAACAAATTTTGAAAAAATTTCTCCAATTTTGGAAAATTTCCCTTGTTCATTTTGGAAAATATTCCCTCAAATTTTGGGAAAAATCCCCTCAATTAAGAAAAAAACCCAAATGTTCCAATTTTGCAAAAATTCCTTCAAAATTTGAAAAAAACCCCTCCCATTCTGAAAAAATCCTAAAAATTTGAAGAAATCAAATTTCAAAATGAGTCCTCCATTTTTGAAAGAACTAACTTAAATTTTAGAAATAATACCTTCCATTTTGGAAAAAAATCCTCCCATTATGCAAAAATTCCTTTCATTTTGAAAAATTACCAGCCATTTTGATAAAAATTTTTCAGTCATTAAAAAAAGGCTCAAATTCCGAAAAAAATCCCATTTTGAAAAATAATTTGAAATATATCTTGAAAAATCATAGAATCATAGAATCAATTGGGTTGGAAAAGACCTCCGAGATCATCAAGTCCAACCCTTGATCCAACATTGCCGTGGTTTCTAGACCACAGCACTCAGTGCCGCATGCAGTCCCATCTTAAAAACCTCCAGGGATTGTGAATCCACCACTTCCCTGGGCAGCCCATTCCAATTTCTGATTACTCTCACTGTAAAAATTTTTTTCCTAATGTTCAAACTAAACCTCCCCTGGCAGCTTAAGACTGTGCCCTCTTGTCCTACTGCTGGTTGCCTGGGAGAAGAGACCAACCCCCACCTGTCTACAACCTCCTTTCAGGGAGTTGTAGAGAGTGAGGAGGTCTGCCCTGAGCCTCCTCTTCTCCAGGCTAAACAACCCTAGCTCCCTCAGCCTCTCAAATTTTGAAAAATTCCCTCTAATCTTAAATTTTTTTTCCTCCAATTTTGAAAAAATGAACTTCAATTTTTTAAAAAATATTGCAGAAAGCTTTTTATTTTTGGTAAAAAACACTTGGATTTGTAAAAAAAAGCTCCAATTTGAAAAAAGAAAAAAACAACTGAGATTTTGAAGAAAACCCTCCAATTTTGGTAAATACATCTGATTTTACTGAAAACCCTCCAAAATGGAGTAAAAATGCCGCATTTGAATGATACCCTCAAGTTTAAAAAAAAAAATCTAATTTTGGGAAGAAAAAGTTTTGATGGAAATGCTCAAATTTTGGGGAAAGACCTCTCCGATTTTGGAAAAAAAACCCTCAAATTAAAAAAAAAAAAAAAACCAAAACTAAAATTTTTCTGAATACCCACAAATTTTGACAAATAAAACACCCACAATTTTGGAATCATCTCAACGGTGTTTCTTTTCACCCTTTTCCCCAGCCCTGTCCTGCCCTCCCAACAGCCACTACAAGCTCTGCACCCGCACCTGTGATGTCACCTGTGCTGCCCTTGTGGGCCCCGCTCCCTGCACCTGGGGGTGCTTTGAAGGTTGTCAGTGCGACGAGGGGTTTGTCTTCGATGGGGACACCTGTGTGTCACCTGAGCACTGCGGCTGCTTCCACAGGGGACGTTACCTCAAGGTCAGGGAATGGGGCAGGTGACCATTGAGGCTGGGGATTGGTGGGGTTTGTTTGCTGGGAACCAGACTGGGGGTTGGGCCGACCCATCTGGGGGTTGGGCTAACCCATCTGAGAGGTTCCAGAGGATTTTGGGGAAAAAAAGAACAACTGATGGTGAAAAAAATTGAGAAATTATAGGGGATTAGCCAGGAAAAAAAAAAAAAGAAAATTAGTGGGGAAAATTGACAGTTAGTGGGGAAAAATGACAATAGGAAAAAATTATAACTAACAGGGAAAACATTACCATTAACTGGTTGAGTTTCCCAAACTCCATCAAATCCACCTGAATTTCTCACTCTCTGACATTTACCCCCCCCCTTGGAATTTGGGAATTACCCTCCAAAATGTGGGAGATGGGTCATAACCTCCAAGATTTCCTGTTTCAGGCAGGAGAGACTGTCACCTTCAACAACTGCTCCAAGGAATGCCATTGTCACCCATCGCGGGGACTGGTGTGCCGGGATATGCAATGTCACCTGGACCAGGTGTGTGTCACCCGTGACGGGTCACAAGTGTGCGCCAAGAGTGAAGGTCACTGCCAGCTCACACCTGGAGCCACCCTGACCACCTTTGATGGCGTCCCTGGGCTTCTGTTGGCCAGTGGCACCTACAAGGTGTCGGCCCTCTGCGATGAGGAGGCACCTGACTGGTTCAAGGTGGTGGTGGAGGTCAGCGACTGTCATGACATGAATGTCCCAGCTGCCACGGCTGCCATCGTCTTTGTCCGCGAGGGCGTCATCAGTGTCAACGGCAACATGGAAGTGTGGGTGAGTGGGCGAGGCAAGGGGCAAGCATGTTGGGGTGGTTTGGGTTATTCTAGAGAGATCTGGGCAAAAATCCTATTAGATTTTGCCCCTTACTGAGCTACTTCACCCAAAATAACGTGGTTATGCTCAATAATTAGCCATTTTTGCAAAGAAAAAGAGTGATTATGGCTAATATGGAGTGATATTGCCCAATTTAGAGCCCTTTTGCCCAAGAAAAACTAGGGTTTTATCATGTTTTTTGGAATTGTCTGGAATTTTCCAGGTCAATGGCCTCTTCACACGCCCCCCCGCCATCATCTCTGACTCCGTCTCTGTGACCTCATCCCCTGGGAATGTCACAGTCACCCATCGTTCAGGGATGTCTGTCACGGTCACTCGTGATGGGGAGGCAAGCATCACCGCGGCTTCGAACCTGGCTGCCCGTCTGTGTGCCCCCTGTGGTAATTTCAATGGAAATCCTAGAGATGACCTGAAGCTTCCAGATGGACGTGATGCCCAAAGTGTTGGCGAGGTGGTGGACATGTGGAAATCCCGGGATTTTGCTGGATGGTGAGTAAGTCCTAATTTTTTTACCCCCATATCCATGTTTTTTTCATCCAGAAATTTGGGAATAATGTTGATGGGGGAGGGGATGGGCAGATTCTGGAAGAAATTTTCCAGTTTCTCTGGTTTCATCCGCAGCGACTGAGGAGGGATCCTGCAGGAACGAGCCTGGTAAGCAAACTTTTTGCCCAAAAATGAGCCATTTTTCATAATAATGGGCCTTTTTTTTTCCAATAAGCCATGTCAATGAGCCGTGTTGCACAATAATTACGATTTTTGCCCCCAAACAAGCTATTTTTGCCCAATAATGAGCCATTTTTCCCCAAATCAAGCCATTTTGCATAATACTGATCCACTTCTGCATAGTAATTACCCACTATTTATTTATTAATATTCCATTTTGCATAATAATTCCCATTTTTGCCAATAATTTTTTTCTGCCCAAAATGATGCAGTTTTCTCTCTGTTCCAGCCACATCTCCCACCAGATCCGTCAGGAAGTTGATGCTCCCATCTATCCTGTCCCATAGGCAGATCCAGCTCTAATTGTCCCAGATTTAGGAAAATTTTGGATTTTGCCTCAAATCCATGAAATTTTCCTGGATTTTCCCCAAAAGGATCATCTCCGTGTGGATCCAGATGCCACAGTGTCCCATCCGACCTCTGGAACCTTCAAAAAATACCAAATTCAGGTCAAAAAGACCTGAATCCCCCTGCTTTTTCCCCTATAAAAATTATACTTCCATTGGATGGTTATGATACAACAGTCAATAAATGCTTTTAAAGGGTTTTTTTGAGGGTGGATTTGAGGTTTATTGGTAATTTTGAAAACTGGGAGGTAACGGTTCCAAAGTGTATGGGAGTACAACTCCCAAGTATGAGGCACTCTGACTCCTAAGTGTAGGGCAATGTTATTCCCAATGGGGGGGGAGGGAGGGTTGTGACCCCATGTGATTCAAATTGCCCCAAAGTGTGGGGCATTCTGACCCCAAGGTATACAGCACTGTGACTCACAAAGTGTGGGGTGTTTTTACGCCAAAGTGTGGAGCATTGCAAATCCAAAATGTGGGGCACTGTGACCCCTAAGTGTGCGATATTGAGACCTCAAAATGTGGGTCGTTGTGACACCAAGTGTGGGATATTTGGCCCTCAAAACATGCACACATGACCCCCAGGTGCAGGGTGCCTTGACATCAAAGTGTGTGACAATGTGACCCAAAGTGTGTGGTGCTGTGGCCCCTAAGTGTGGAGCACCGTTAACCCAAGCACAGGGCATTGTGACCCCAAGTGTGAGGCACTATGACCCTGAAGCTTGGGATATTTTGACCCCAAAATGTAGGGCACTGTGACCCCCAAGTGAGGGACATTGTGACCCCAAAATGTGTGGCAATGTGATCCTTAAGTGTGGGGCAATGAGTCTCCAAAGAGTGGGGCAATGTGACCCCCAAATGTGGGGCATTTTGACTCCAAAGCATAGGGGCACCATGACTCCAAAATATGGGACAATGTGACCCCTACATAAGGGACAATGCAACCCATAAGTACGGAGCATTATGACCCTAAGTATGGACCACTGCAATGTCTACATGGGACATTGCAACCCAAAGAGTGGGGGGGTCTTACCCCAAAGTACTGGGCACTGACCTCCAAGTGTGGGACACCGTGACACCCCAAGTTTTGATCATTTTGACCCACAACTGTGGGGCACTGTGACCTCCAAGTGTAGGGCAATGCAACCCACAACTGTGGGGCACCATGCCTTCCACATATGGGGCAATGTGACCTCCAAGTGTGGGGCACTGCAACCCCCAAGTGTGGTCCGTTGTGACCCCCAACTGTGGGATGTTTTGACCCCAGAATGTGGCGTGTTTTGACCCCAAAGTTTGGGGCACTATGACACTAAAGTGTGGGGCACCACACCCCACACCAAGCCCTGTCCACCCCATCTGCCCTCTCAGTGCTGAATCGCCCCTCTTCCCCTTCCCCCACTTTTCCCCATTCCTGCTCTATTCCCACCTGGATTCTTGGCCACCTGGGCTGTGGGGTAGGGACCCCCAATTGCCTCTCATTTACCTCCATGGGAGCAGGATATCGGATGTCTCCCACCCCATCTTGGAAGTTCTCAGATTTCCTCATTCTCGCCTCAAAAATAATGACAGATATGAAAACCTTGGCAGTGTGATCCAAAATTCCCAGAAATCCAGGAGGACCTGGCGACATTCCCAGATGCTTGTGCAACGGTTTGGGTCTTGCCAAGAAAACTTGGAATTCTCCTGAAAAAAAAATGCCACAAGAAGCTGATTTTTAACCATTTTTTGCTTTTTTTTTTAACCTCAAAATCTTGAATTTTGTTTGTGGTGGATCCGATTTTTGGGGCAAAAGTGGAAAAGCTGGTGTGAGAGTTGTTTCCAAGGATGGGTTCACAGGGTTGGGTAGGGGCTTGGCAGAGAGGGGAGGGTTGGGGGTGCCCTAAGGCACAGGGAGTGGTTTGTGGGGTTTTGGGGTGACCCAAAGTGGGAGAAGGGCTTGTAGGGGGGCAGGGAGGGAGAGAAAACTCGCTGACACATTTCAAATATTAATTAAGCTACTCAAATATTTCTATATTCAAGCAATATTCAATCATTATTGTTGTGTTGGTTTCTTGTTTGGTCTTTTTAGACACAATGACTAAAAAAGGTTTTTTTATTTATCTTTTAAGTCAAGAATTAACATGTTCACATTTTGCAATGAGAGTTATGGTCACCCTCTCTGTGAGCTCTATATGTGAATGGGTTTTTATCCTGAAAATGTGCTAGTGGTCTGATTTCTTTTTTTTTTTCCCTCCCTTAATTTTTTTAAGTATTTAAAGATTTCCATTCACCTATTTACAATGGTAAATAGCCCTAGAAAACCTTGAATGGACAGGACGTCTCAGAAGTCTTTTTAGGCTGTTATGTTGTAAGAGATCAATTGCAATAAATCAAAGGTTGATCAATATTTCATGTTTTCCTCTGAGATTAATGTGTTTAAACTTTTTTTGTGTTTTAATGGAGAAAAGCTCCACCAACACACAGGGGTTGGTCACTAACTCTTGGATAATTTATTCTGTTTCAACTATTATTTTCATCACATGGTCACAATTCTTGGGAAATTAAAAAAAATTGGGAGAATAAATTCAAATCCTTATTTAAAAAAAAAAGAAGAAGAAGAAAATTCCCTAAAAATAAAACTGAGCAGCACGTGCATATTCCATGTGGTGTTTCGCTACCTGTTCAATACAAAAATCCATCAGCAGTTTTCCAGGGGGAAAACGTCTTCATCTAAAAAGTGAAGCCAGTTGTTTCTACATATTGAAGACACAATGCAGTTTTTTCTCAGAATCAGCAGTCTGAGAAAATACTTTCAATTAAAACAAACAAAAATTCTTGTTTAGTTTTGTGGTTTGGGTTGGTTTTTTTTGTTGTTTTGTTTTGTTTTGTTTTTTTGTTGGGTTTTTTTTGTTGTTTGTTTGTTTGGTTTTTGTTGTTGTTGTTTTGTTTTGTTTTGTTTTTTACTTTTGGCTGTAGGTGCCAACATTTTAATTCTCATTTTCAAGACCATGCACTAGGTTTGGTTGCCAGGCCACACTAAGTTTCCACTGAGAGTCTCATGTGAAAGCAGAAGAACAGCTTTGGTCACAGAAATACAAAGCAAAAGGTGTGAATCTTGTAGTTTGATTTTTTTTTTTTTTTTTTACAGGGAATATGGTGGTGACAGCAATGGGAGGGTGCAGGACGTGGCACATAGAATCTGAGTCATGGAATGGTTTAGGTTGGAAAGAACCTTAAAGCTCATCTTGTTTCAGCCCCCTGACAAGGGCAGGGACACCTTTCACTAGACGAGGTTGCTCCAAGGCCCATTGAACCTGGCTTTGAACACTTCCAGGGATGGGGCAGCAACAGCTTCTCTGGGCAACCTGTGCCAGGACCTTACCACCCTCACAGGGAAGAATTTCTTCTGTATATCTAACCTAAATTTCCCCTCTTTCAGTTCAAACCCATTACTCCTTGTGCTATCACTACAGTTCCTAATGAACTGGATCCCAGATTTTACTTGCCTATCTGTTACTCATGGGCCCTTTCCTCCCTGAAAGGGATCTCTGTGGGGCATCCACATATTGTACCCTAACTATTGGAATTCTAATGCATCACAGGTCTGTGTTTTGCTCTGAGATCCATGGTGCTTGTCTGGGTTTCAATTTTTTCATGATCTTGTGTATTTGAATGGTCCGCACAGCCCCCACATGCTGGGGGAGAGAAGAGGCCCAGCAGAAGCAGGTACCTCCTGTTCGTAAGCTTGTGCCATAGCATGAGGCAATTGCTCTTCTTTCAGAAAGTTTCTACAAGCAAAATCAATGAAGATTACTTCTGAGCCACAGAGAATCTTTTCTCCCCCCCTCACTGGGGCACTTTTTATTTGAACTAAGTAGACAAGTTCCTTTTCAGGAGTGAAAGGGCCCAGGAGTAAATCTGCCTCCAGCCTTGTAGAGATAGTTACCTCTGCAATTTTTTTCTGCCTACAAATTCCACAGTACAAATACCAAAGATATTTTTTTTCTGTAAAACAAGCACACATGTTTATATAGGTCTTTGTAAATTCCCTTTCCATGAAAGTGGATATAATCTAGAAGATTACATAATATTGCTCTGGGAAAGAGGAGTAGGTATGAGGATGTTCCAGAGCTAGATGGACCAAGGCAAGGCCAAACAATGAAAAAAAATAAGAAATGACAGTACTGCAGATAAGTCACTGTGATTTCGGTACTGCTGAGCCTCAACCCCCTCAGAGCTGAGATACTATCACAGTAGTGGTGCCTTACTCAATGCTGATATGGCAAATAATGACAGAAAATGGGAAGAGGCTGTGATGCCACCTGAGCCAGAAACAGCTTTTACTCCAACGGAACTGTATGAAAGCATGTGCTGTGTGAGCAAACTGTGATCACCTGACAAAAAACATGCTTTCTATGACTGCATCCTTCCTGCTATCTGCCAGCAAACCTTTTCCTCCTGCCTCTGCCTCCAGCTCTGGCATGGCAGACAGCTGGCAAGGCAGTGAGTGAGGCTGAGAATATAATCCTATTGTGTTTTACAAAGTCCCACACAGTTTTAGACAGCACCTTCAAGCTCTTTGTTTAAGTTGTTCAATAATGTGCTCAGACACCAGAGCTGGGAATTAAAAACCCAATGCCAGGCATTGCAGAAAAAGTTCAATGACTGGCTCACTGATGAAGCAGGAGTGGAGTTTGTGTGAAAATGAGTTGTGCAAGGATACAAAAGTGTATCAACAGACATGGTTTGGCCACTGAGTGTTCTCTGACCTCTAGATTGGGCCTTACATCAGGATAAAGTTCTGAGGTTGTGACAGATGGGCTGGCACACATTCTGTGGCAAGGTGGGCTTCAGCTGCTCAGGTACTGAATGCAGAGAAGAAAGGAGCGGTGAGAGAAGAGGGAATATCTCTCAAAACAAGAATAAGCTACACTTTCAGCTTGGCTTTTACTCCAGAAAAATGTCCTCTCAAGCTTCTAAATAAATGTTCTGTTGTTCTGTAATGGAAACCCCTCTCAATGTATTTTGTGCAGAACAGCACTTTGTGACCCTGCTGTCATGAAGGGCACAGGGATCCCCACTGGGGCTGGTTTAAATGCCCAACTCGTAAAGGTGCTCTCTTGTGCTTTGGCTGCAGCAGACAGATGTTTAGAGATTTCTCAGGCTTTATCCCTCCAGACAGGACGGGGGAATAAGGTAATAATCACTGCTAATTTGTAA